TGGGCCCCTACGCGCCACTTGCCCACCTTGGGAAAGGAGTTGTGCTCCAAACTGCTGGCACTTTTAAGCTATATGGAGAAATGCTGTGCACAGGCAGGAGAGAGGGGGGCCACATCCCCACCGGAGCTGCAAGCCAGAGGGCCTGTTCGTCAGTGTGTCCCTGGCCTGGCCCCTCACTCGGACCACACCAGTTCCACATCCCAATTCCCTACAAAGTCAAAACCTTTACAGCCCCAGGGATCAAAGTCCAGAGCCCGAGGACAGAAGCCAAGGCTTTCCCTCGGGGTGCTGGGGAAGAAGCTTTTCTCTCTCACGGCAGAGAGAAGCCCCCTTCGCCCGGCCTGGATCGCATCTCAGCTGGCTCCACGCTCCCCGAGGTCTCCTTCCACTCATCGTGTTAAGGAGAACATCAGGAGGAAGAAAAAGGCTGACGGGCCAGGACCAGCACAGGAGGAAGCGGAGCCAGGAAGCCGTCTTCACTACCGTGGCCGCAGGTTCAGTCTTAAGGCACAGCCAACAGCTGGGGAGGGGGAGAGGTCCACGCCGGAGCAGGACGTGGCAGGAAAGAGCACCTTAGGCCTCTTTGTTTGTTTCTTTTCCTTTTTTCCCTGTGCCACACAGCTTGTGAGATTTTAGTTCCCCAACCAGGGGGTTGAAGCCTGGCCCTCAGCAGTGAGAGCGCAGAGACCTAACCACTGGACTGCCAGGGACTTCCCCATTTTTCTTCTGTCAAACCTGCAGCCCTTCAGAAGCCAACAAATCTCTGTGAGCCGAGCTCAGCGCGGCCTTCCCAGCGTAGGGCGAGGGTCCTTCCTGCCAGGAGTCGCGGAACAAGGAGCCCCCGAAGGCTCCTTACAGCACAGCTGCTCCCGCAACAAGGGCGTTCTAATTCTAAGCCCGAGGGCCAGAGTCTGGCAGCTTTCAGTCACTTGAGGTGGGGACTGGTCGAGAGGCCGGAGCACAAGCCAAACTCGGTCGTAACTCTGCAATCCAGCAGGGCCCCAGCATTCACAAACACCGGGGGGTCAGGAGGAGTTAAAGTCGGGCCTAGTACAGGGGATGGGCCTGCTCAGCCCCCGGGGGGCACAGGCCAAGCCCCACTTTGGAGCAGGGCACCCTGGAGCGGCAGCCGTCCGCATCCAGCCCTCCTGGGAGCGATGGTGTGCCCGTCCTCTCCTGGCGGCGTCCTTCCGATCACCCTCTCTTCCTTCTGGCAGGGCTGGGTCTGCCCGAGGCTCCGGCACCCCTCGGCAAGCCCAGGACATGGGCCATCCTGCCGGCTGCTCAGGCAGCAACTCGGCAACCAGAGCCAGCAGACGTGAGGCAGTGTCGGGGAGCCTCCCCTCAGAGGAACTGCTGCCTGCGTCCACGTGTCCACGTGAAAGGCAGGCAGGTGGAAGAATCCACGGAGGAGCGCTGTGGCTTCCTTCACTGGGTGACAGCAAAGGAGTCTTCCTTCCTGCAGGAAGAGGTCTAGACTGCGGAGGGGCAGGGATGAAGCATAAAGAGGAAGGCATGACCTACTGCCCCTGCCTCCCTTGGAACGATCTGGTCCAGGTCCCTAGAAAACCTGGAGCGACCACTGGCCTGTGCTGCTCAAGGCCTCCGAGCCCCTCGCTCATCTCCATCTGCTCCAGAACCACAGGGGGAAGAGCTCAGGCTCTGGCCCTGCCCAGGTCACTGACATGGCCACTAACAAGTCACAGGGCACTCTGACGACGGGGACTTCCAGAGGTGAGCAAGGTACTGGGAGAGAGGGGGCAGGGAAGGAGGAAGGGAAAGGAAGGAAAGAAAGAAAAAGGAGACTTGCATTCGTCCTCACGTAAGGCCTCAGGAGAGGGCGTCCTCAGGACACTGATAACTCAGGGTGCTTTGAAACTGCTGACTCTGGTTGCCCAATGACAGCTCTAGCCAGCCCGGTGGCCTGAGGTTGCTGAGACAGCGAGAACCGGGCCTCCCCTCACATACAAGGGCATGAAGGGCCTCCTGCCCTCCTCTGTGGGCGCCACCCGCAGGCCTTGTACTCTCTCCTCCCCCACGGAAAAGCACACTGATGCTGCTGGGGACAGATGGCATTCTCTGGGCCAGGATTCCACCTCCACAGACCATCCCAGAACCTCCGGGGCTGGCTTGTCCTGTTAGATCCGCCACTGGGTGGAGGAAGCTGTCCTTTCACCCCCTCCCCAAGCCCCCGCAGCCCCGCTCACCTTTACAGGAGAGTGCAGGCCCATGCACAGCCCCAGAGAAATACGGGTCATTAAGGCTTAACGCCACCTTCAAAGTGGACGCTCGCCCAGGCAGGGAAGCCTTCTCAGGAGGCGGCGCAGAGAGTCAGACCGAGGGTACGAGCCCAGCTCCTGCCGTTTCCTAGCGGATTAACCACTGGAGGACTTCTCTGAGCATCGGTTTCATCGTCTGTTAAATGAGGTAACTCCCACTTACCCTACAGAGTTGCTGTAAGGATTGGGGGATCACAGTGAAGACTTTTTAATGGTGATGGGGAAAGGCTCACGATGTTAGGCCAGTCAAGACCCCACAGAAGGCACACGTCTAAGACTGACCACATGTCATTATACACGTGAACCAGCGAGACAGGAGGGAGAAAGGAGTCAGAGACGACACCAGCCTCTTCCCCGGGCCTGGGCCCAAACGGCAGCACAGGGCACCAACACGTCTGCATTGCTGTATTCGGGAAATCACAGCCCAAATGTTTAGCCTCTAAGAAATCAGAACCAGCCTCGTGCTGATCCTTGGAGCCGCTGGCACAGGCAGCCCTCTGCCCAGACCACTCCTTTCCGGCCCGGGCGTCACTCTATTGTTCGTCCTCCCACAGTGGACGCACCGCACAGACAGGGACGTGGCCCTCCATATTCAAGGCCAGTGCCCCAGGGCTTGGCAAGCAAACACTCAAACGTCAGTCAGGTAGATGGATAACTGTTGGGCTCTGGAGTCGGATAAGGACGGTTTCATACTGGACCATAACATGCGAAATACGTTACTGGCTGTGTGAAGTTGGGCAAGTGACTTCACCTCCCTAAACCTGTCAACTCATTTGTAAAATGGGGACAATCCTCTTGCACAGGCTGATGTGAAGATCAAATGAGACTGAGAGGCAGTGAACACTGTGCTCGCCCAGCCACTGGCTGGTAACTGCTGTTATTACCACTGCTCTCTTATTATCAATATTATCATGACCCCATGAAGCTGATTCCACTTGGGAATTCTTATTTAGCAGCTGGATAGGCTTCTTGCCAAATGGCCAGGTAAGACCAACTACAAATAAACCAGAGGTGACAGCAACGAGGACATCTCTCAGCATCACTGGAAGAGGAGCTATTCTACCACAGGGCACATTTCTAGACATAAGAACCCTTTAATCAGTGAATTCACTCTAATGGTGAAAATCAATAAGTTGTGGAAACTTCAGGCAAATATGGACTCAAGTCCTAGCTCTTCGCCTCTGTGTCCTGTGGTGAGTCATTTAGCCCCTGGGAACCTCAATCTCCTCATCTGTATATAAAAAAGGGAAAATCATCTCCCCCAGAGGTTCTTGAAAGGATTAAGGATAACGTATATACAATACTGGCACATGACAGACACCCCAGATAAAGCTGGGTCACACAGTGCCGTTCGGGAGCTACCGAAATGTTCAGGGCCATTTGTTCATGGTTTCCTCAGAGCTTCTGCTTGTGTGTTGTGGGTCTTTTTGTCTGTCCGTGTGTCAGACTGAAAAGTGTCACTTTTCCTCCCAGACCAGCTTGTAAAGTAAATTCTTTTTTATATGCGTTACATCAAATCTGCTAAAAACTGGAAAACCACGCCAACTGTCTGCAAGATGGAGACCTGACACTCCTTCTTGAAGTGTAACAACACCAGCTTTCAGACAGTGGTTTCCGCCATTCAGATGCTTCGTTTCTCTCATTTCCATTTTCTTGCCTATATCCTAGGTCAGGTCAGGGAGGGCACCCTGTAGACCGAAGGCCAATTCCCACCTACCTCAAGCCTCAAGAAGACGGTTTTACATTTTTAAAGGATAAAATATACATAAAAAAGAAAGAACAAAGAAAAAGGGATAGAGACTGTGTAGCCTGTAAAGCCTAAAATGTTTACTATCTGGCCCTTTGCAGAGTGTATGCCACGCCCTCCCCAAATGACTGAATCTGTACTGAGGTAGCATTGCATGCATTCCAGTTTTGTTACATTTTCAATACAGACTTAATTAGAAATGAGATTCTACAGATTAAGAGAAAACGCTTCAGAGGATAACCTGCTTTGGAGCCTTCCCTTGCAAGGCGGATTAATTAAGTGGTCACCCTTCTGGTGGTGTGGAGGGACTGGACGGAAGCAGAAAGCAGGTGCAGCGAAAACACTTCCCAAAGTGCAGGCTGAGGCCCCCAAAACTCGGGGGTCAGCAAAATGCTGGCTCAGAGGTGGCTGCCCAAGGCCCACTGTTTAAGGACCTCGACTCCTCCCGCCCTGGTGACTGGTCTGGAAGCAGGTGCCCTGAGCTCCAGGTAAGAACAGAGTCAGGGCAGGCAGTGCAGTGAAAACCAGAGGGGCCTTTGGAGACAGACGGAGCCGGGTTTGATTCCTCACTCTGCCTCTTGCCTTTTGGACAAACACCTTAATCTTTCTGAACTTTGATTTCTTCATCTGGGAAATAGGGACTGAAACAGTGACCACATTTGTGAGGATTTAAGGATTTAAGATGACGTATATGAAATATCTGGCACTGAGTCTTGCACAAGGGAGGTGCTGTCCCAATGGCACCGGCTGTTCCTGAGAGGCACGATGCAGAGTACTGCCCGGGCAAGGTAGCAGCAGCCTCTCACGACTGACCCGATGACCACGCTCGGGCCCAGCGCCCTGCTGCGGGAGCTCAGAACTTCTACTAGTTAGGCCAGCCAGGTGGCAGGTCTAAGGGAGACGACTTGGCCTCGCGTTTCATCTATGAACTACCTATCAAAAGAGCTGCGGGGCAAAGGGAGTCCGTAACTCACAGGTCTCGGTACTGGTCAAAGGCATTGTTGGCTTCCACCTCCAGCTTCCTCAGCCGAGCAGAAGGCATGGCCCCATCTTCCAAAGGAGGGTCATACTTGTTACTCCACGGTGACCTGGAGGGGAGAAGGAGAAGGAGATCACATGAATCATTCCAGTGAGCCATCGGCCCAAGCCCCAGCTTCTGAAATGTCAGAGGAAAAGCCATTATCCACAGGCCCTGGGCATAGACACGGCTTTCTCAAGGTTTGCAGAGCAACGGCTCAGATTCCATCTGACCTGGGTATGAACCCCAGGCTCCAACTCTCACCAGCTGTGCATTTCCAACAGGTGTCTTGACTTCTCTGAGCCTCCCTTTCCTTATGTGCAAACTGAGGCTACTATTTACCCACAGGGCTGCTTTGAGGAGCACAGGAGAAAAATATTGACACATCAAGTGCCTAAATTAGAGACGGGCATATAGTAAGTGCTCAACAAATGGGACTTCTTTCTCACACTTTTAAAAATTTTCCTTTGTTCTCACCACTGTTTTGATCAATAAAGGCCCCTCTCTCCTCCCTGGCCTGCTGGCAGCTCTGGAGAAACTCCTACTCCTCAAAAATCTTCTTACATGATTAAGGATTAAGAAGAGAGCTGTCAGTTATGGAAGCAACAAGACAGCCAGCCCCATGGGGAAAGGCTGACCACACGTAAGAAAACCTGAGGGACAGAGTTCTCCCTGTGAACAGAGGACGGCCTTCCAGCCTCCAAGGGCCGTGCACACAACGAAGACTGTGAAGTAATGAGAACCAGCCTCACTTTTTCCAGTGCAAAGTCTTGCTGCATTTTTTAAAATGTGTTTTGCCACATCAGGAAAGCATTTAATCACAGAGAGTGCTGGAAGGGGGGTTATAAGGGAAATAGCCACTCATTAATTCCCGCAGGTGGAGTTCACAGAGCTGGGGGTTCAAAGAAAGAGAATTAAAAAGGTGAGGGGTGGGGGTGGGGCCCTGCCTGGTGGCTCAGTGGTTAAGAATCCGCCTGCCAATGCAGGGGACACGGTTTCGAGCCCTGGTCCGGGAAGATCCCACATGTCGCAGAGCAACTAAGCCCGCTCGCCACAACTACTGAGCCCGCGTGCCACGACTACTGAGCCCGCGTGCCACGACTACTGAGTCCATGTGCCTAGAGTCCGTGCTCTGGAACAAGAGAAGCCGCCGCAATGAGAAGCCCGCACAACGCAACAAAGAGTAGCCCCCGCTCGCTGCTACTAGAGAGAGCCCGCGCGCAGCAACAAAGACCCAATGCAGCCAAACAAAAAAAACCAAGGTGAGAGGGTAAAAGAAAGGAGGAGAGGACAACATGGAATTCGGGCAAAGTCCTTCACATTCTGGGGCACAAACACCTTGACACGTCCACGGTAAGAAACCCCGCTGCCTCTCCCGTCTCCCCCCCCGACGACACCACTTCACATCACTGAGGACTGAAAAGAACCTTCTGATTTAGGATTGTTGGTAAGGGAAGAAACGCCTCACTGCGTCCCGAAGCCCAGTTTTAACTAGTTCTGTGCACAAACATCTTTCTTCGTGGTAACTGATGCCTGGCACCTACCTTAGCAGACCATGTCAAGTCAGCTGGGTGACCTCTTCTCCCAGCCACCCTCAGGCAGGGGTCCCAGCTTTCTTGGCTGCTGGTCCACAAACGTAAGCGGGGGAAGAGTTGCTGTGCTTGGTGTCCCAAAAGGGCCTCATGCAGCAGCTGCTCAGGCCACCTCAAAGCAGGAGGTGCTTGGAAACCCTTCTTTCCGCACCAGCCCCTGACCTCACTCACCAGTGTCGGGAGAGACTGTGCAGCAATGGGCTGAAACGCGCCCCACTGCCCCGTGTCCAGCAGCCAGCTCTTGTGGTCACACTGTGTTGCGCACAGGCCACAGCAAACAAAGGGCTGTTGGACAAGCCAGGACCCCACCTGGCTCGAAAAGCAGGCGAGAAGCCGACGCCGGGCACCCTCTCACGCTCCCCGAGGCCTCTCCCTCCCTGGGCAGGGCTGACACGTCCATCATCGCTGTGTTCACCCCTCACAACAGTGCTGCCCGACAGAACTTTCCCCGACAACAGAAATGTTCTGTATCTGCGCTGTCCCAAACGGTAGCCGCTAGCTTCACGTGGCTCCGGAGTACTTGTGTGACTGAGGAACCGAATTTTAAATTTTACTGAACTTGAATTCATTTAGACGGTCAACTTTAGAACCTTAGCTCCCAGAGGGAAAGAGTTGTGTCTGTCTTGCTCTCCACTGTTTGCTCAGCACCTGGAACACTGCCTGGTGCTCAACCACATGCTCATGAGAAAAAAAAAAGGCAGAGGAATGAGTGAATGATCTCACACCCGACACAAAGCAGAAGTAACCACTGCCCCCGCCTGTCCCCTCACTCCCACAGAGATGTCGGTTCCTGCAGCGGTCACATCCCCGCCCTTGACAACGAGAGCGCTCCAGGCAGAAGCGTGTGCAGTCTGCCCTCACACCCCGGCACCCAACACACAGCTGGTGGGCGGAAGCCTTCTGGCGCGGGGTGGGGAGGAAAGGACACATGGCACCCCTGCAGGTGCTCCTCCAAACCAACAGCACCCCGGCACCCAACACACAGCTCATGGGCAGAAGCCTTCTGGCGCGGGGTGGGGAGGAAAGGACACGCGGCACCCCTGCAGGTGCTCCTCCAAACCAACAGAGATGGGGCAACTTTCTGCTTTCTCTGCTGAGGGACACCTAAGCATTTAAAAAAAAAAAAAGAAAGAAAAAGAAAAAAAAAAATCAATGAAGACCTCTTACCAGATCCAGAGACAAAGATGAGGTTGCAGAGTGCTGTCACCACCACTGTTTATTTGTAAACTACGCTTGGTACCTCACCTCCACTCACCGAGGGGAGTGCACAGGAATCTGAGCGGGAGAATCTAAACTCCCCACCTGCCCTGCGGCTCCTCAAGACCCCAAGACTCTCCTCAGCACACTCTGAGGTCTCTGACTTCCGTTTCCACGGTTACACGGCCATTGCTGTCCTGGGGGCCTGGAAGTCCCACCCCTACTGGCTTTCATTTAAAGGCGACCTGATTAGACATAAGAGCCGATCTCTCTTGAAGACTGGGGGTCTGGAATTTTCAAGACACATCTCTCCCTGCTCACAGATGACAGCGTTTCAAGCCGTTAGTCCTGGAGCCGGGGTAATTGCAGCTGGGGGAAAGATCATAACATTACCCAGAATATCCTGAGTGGAAGGGGCACTCAGAACACATTTTAAGAGCTTAAATGGAGGCCATTTGAAAAAAGACAGATGGACAGGAACGCTTAGATTTCAAAAGTCAGGCCTTTCATTTCCCTCAGAGAATGCTTTTTGTTTCAGCTAACAGGTTTCAAACAGTGCTGCTGGCAAACCGTCACACCATAAGGATCTTATTTAAGCAAACGATCAGACACAGGACAGAAATGTGTGGAGAAACTCAGAAGACCTTGAAGTTTTATACCGAGAAGAGAAAAAAAAGGAAAGCCCTGTGCCCTGACACCCGGGACTCCTCTTCAGCTGAAGATCCCCAGGCCCCCTACGGAGCCCCAGGAATGCAGGTGGGAGCCAGCAGGGCGACCTGGAGGTACCACATCCTGGGAAAGCCTGGCCTGGGCATGGACTGGAAATGATTCCAGCCTTCCACAGGCTGCTGGGCAACAGCTGCCTCACACAGCAAGCCCAAATTTTCAGGTGGAACAAAAATAAGACGACGATGTTGAAGAAGCAAGACTCAGCTCCAGGCCCCCCTCTTCCAGGGTGTGTCCCCCGAACCCCATGCCTGGTGAAGCTGCTCATCCTTTGGCCATGGGCTCCCTGGCTTGTCAGCCCACTTAGCACCCTGAGGGACCTCTCCCTTGGTGAACTAGACCTGGCCCTATGCCCACAACCCGGACGGCGGCTGGCGTTCCAAGGCTGAGCCTGATCTGCCTCAGGGCTTGTCTCACCACCTGGGAGCTGGACGCCCACCTCTGCACCTCCATCTCCACACAGACCTCCGGGAACTCAAGACTACCCACAGCCTAGCCGACTCTCCACGTCCACCCGATGGGCATCTGAAGTTTAAAATGCCTCCAAATCAGTCCCTCCCAGAGCCTTCCTCACCTGGAGAGTCAGTGACCCCACCTTCCAGCTGCTCATCTGCCCCACCCCCGCATCTGCAAACACTGCTGGCTCTACTTTTTTTTTTTTTTGCGGTACGCGGGCCTCTCACTGTTGTGGCCTCTCCCATTGCAGAGCACAGGCTCAGCAGCCATGGCTCACGGGCCCAGCCGCCCCGCGGCATGTGGGATCTTCCCGGACCGGGGCACGAACCTGTGTCCCCTGCATCGGCAGGCTGACTCTCAACCACTGCGCCACCAGGGAAGCCCGCTGGCTCTACTTTTTTTTTTTTGGCTCTACTTTTAAAACGTACCTCAAACCCGACTACCTCTCCCCATCTCCAACTCTAGTCTCCAGTCTAGGTTAGACCAAAATACATTCTTTACCTGACCTCCATCTGAAACTAGGAAAGGGACGTGATCACATGATAGTCGTCTAGTCTTGTTTAAATAGTATGAATTCTTTGTAATTTCCCCCAAGTTCGGTGCTGTTCAGCCCTTCACATGTGTTATTTCTTTCAACCCCCAAGTGCCCCGAGCCAAGCCCTATGGCCCTGGCCTTCAAGGCCTCTGGCCTCACCTCCTACCCCTGCCCACCCCCTTCACTGCTGTCTCCCACTCGGGCCTCCCTGCCAGGCTCAACCCTGACAGCTCACCCCACCCAGGGCCTTTAAAGGGGACACTCTTCTCCCAGACCTGCGCGGGACTGAACCTTCTCATCCTTAAGTCTCATTTCACACTTGACCACCAACGCCAGAGCCTTCCCTGTTTACCCCTCCGCCTCTCCCGCCCCTGGTCTTCCATTATTTTCTTTATTTGCTCTTCAACAATATATACTGTTTATGCAGCTGCTTACTCTCTGGATTCCTCACTAGGACACAAGCTCCACAGAAGAGTGACTCAGTGTCTGACACACGAGTGCCTGCTCACAGAAACATGTCACTGAGCAACCTGTTAGAAGAATGAACACTATCACCCTCCACTTGATACATGAGAGAACTAGACTCCAGAGACAATAAGTAATTTGTCAAAGTTCCCGTCTGCTCAAGGGGGCAGTGCTGGTTTGGAGCCCATGTCGGCTACCTCCAGCGAATTTCTCCTACTTTCATTTTTCAGGCCCCAACCCCTCCCCCAAAAGAGCATGAGGCCAAAGCGTTAAGACCCAGCCCAGGTTCTGCGGCTTCTAAAAAAAGCCTATAGCCTATGGCATTCCTCCACCATTCTCCAAGGTACTGACTGCAGCCACCCACCACAGGAATACTGTATGCGTGTAGGGATTCCCAGTCTTTTTTAATATTAAGAACTCCTAGGCACCCTTAAAAACCTAGCTCGGACAACATCTCCTCCAGGAAGTCTTCCTGGAATCAACCTCGGCCTTCTCTATGCTACCTTCTCTATGCAGTAAGCTTGGCCCTGGCTGCAGGAATCACGTCACACAGTAATCAGCTCCTGGGTGTGTCTCCTGTTCTAGACCACGGATCACCCAGGGCAGGGACGCAAGTCGACTTAGCTATTCGCAGCCCTGGACAGGGTGATGGAGAGAGAGAGGACAGCTGCACATCTGTCTGACGAGATTCATTCACATGCCCTCCCTGGGCTCGGGATTTCTGTCATGGGCACATCCTGGACCTTCTCCTTTGCAGGATTTGATGCAATTTTAATGAAGCAGCTTGCTGGGGGTTCTTTCTTTTCTTTTTTTTTTAAAAATTAATTAATTAATCTTTGGCTGTGTTGGGTCTTTGTTGCTGCGTGCGGGCTTTCTCTAGTTGCGGCGGCTGGGGGCTACTCTTCGTTGTGGTGCGTGGGCCTCTCACTGCAGTGGCTTCTCTTTATCGTGGAGCACAGTCTCTAGGCACGCGGGCTTCAGTACTTGTGGCATGCAGGCTCTAGAGTACAGGCTCTAGAGCACAGGCTCAGTAGTTGTGGTGCACAGGTTTAGTTGCCCTGCAGCATGTGGGATCTTCCCGGACCAGGGCTTGAACCCACGTCCCCTGCACTGGCAGGTGGACTCTCAACCACTGCGCCACCAGGGAAGTCCCTGTTTTTTTTTTTTGTTTTTTTACCAACATCCCCCTCCTATTAGACTGTAAGCCCCACCAGGGCAGGGGCTTCTTGTTCACTGCTGCATCTCCAATGCCCAGTGGGGGTACTCCACAGACATCTTCCGGTCAACTGGATGGAATGATGGATAGAAGGGAGGGAGGGACGGAGGGAGGGAAGGAGGAAAGCCTAGCAGAAGCACAAGCAGAAAGAAGGCTGATGGGCTGTCAGATGTCAAAGCTCAGTAGTCCTCGAGCTGCTGCAGCAGTGGTGAGCAGCTGTGGCAGGCGCGGCACGCCTGCTGCATTCGTGGGGCAGGAGCTCACCTATAGGAGTCCCCATCTCTGTTGTAGTCACATAAAAGGTAATCCTTTCCCACCACCTTGTCTCTGGCGATTTTCAGTGGCTGGTCAACCGAAGACAGGAGATCTTCACATAGACTGGGGACCTGGCAGGGAGAGAGGAAAAGTCAGAACAGAGGTTAAAATAACACATCAAACCCAGGTTGGCGAACGGCATCTGTAGCCATACCGTGGTCAGCATATTTAACATCTGGCCCTTGGTAGCCTGCCAGAATTATGGGCCTGTTCTTTTCTTTTCCACATGTGTCTGACACCAACTGTGTCCCTCTATAAAGAAACCTGTTCTTGAATTACAGTGGAGCGTGATTTCCAATACAGCCTTCCTTCCAAACTGCGTGCAGCTTTAATTACCTGGTCGCCAGGGTGGTCTAGTAACGTACAAACGTGCTTGGTATTGGTCTCTGGTGGGCAAAGCATAAGCTGAAGCCCCGAGAAGAAGGTAAACACTTGAAACACACAGGAGTCCAGAGAGCTCTGAGAAGAAGAGCCAGTCCGTGCCGAGAGCTCCCACAGGCTCCCTTGCTGGGTGGAGTTTCCAGTACTTTCCAGGACCCCAGCCAAGCGTTACCAGGCTGGCTTACGGAGTCAACCCTACCTGCTGCAAAGGTAGCTTCCCACCAGCTTCCCACAGTGCCGAGCTCCAGCTGCTGTGCTCAGGCTCACCCTCCTGGGCCCCTCACTGAGGAGGGGGGCCCTCGCGTGGGGGGCGGGCAGGGCTGAATCTCAGGGCAAATGCTGCTGAATCGGACACAGAGCCCTGCTAGGAACCAGGCCTCTGGCCTCCTCCTCCCAACTCAAACATCAATTTCCACCGAAATATTCCAGGAAGGGAGGGCAGCGCTCTCCAAAATGGATTCCTTCAGGCTTGAGTCACTTCCATGCTATATTTTCAATGTGCTGACTTATTCATTTCATGGGCCCGGGTTTACGGAGGCCCCACCGTATCGTTTACCCGACGAGTGGCTGCCAACTGCACCAATAACCCTTCCAAATGGAAAAGTTAAATCATGTGGCAAAGACACCCGAAGAGCAGCTCAGCAGAGGGGTGGCCAGTCACAGCAGTTCCCGTGCTCCCCCGGAAGGCCCCCGCCACCACCAGAGAGGCACGGATGGGGACACGGTCACCTCGGAGACCACCAGCCTCCGTGGGCTTCTCGAGGCATCTCTGCTGATGGGGCAGTGCCTCCGGACTCAGCCTGGAAGGCGCTGTCTGGCACACCTGTGAGATGGTGACCCTGCCTGGTGACTCAGAGCCATTTCTCATACACCGAGCAGCACCGGGCAGCCAGCCGCCCGACACGAGACACACACATCATTAACCCCTGTCGACAACGTGCTTATTTCAGAACTCCTCCTGGATGCAACACCCATCTGTGTACCCACCTCCCCAAGCAGAAAGACATACAAACAAAAATGGGGCTGTGTTCAGTTAGTCCTGGTGCTGAGAATACCAAGCGTCTGCCACGCGTCATGCACTACGCTGGGCCCTTTACAGATGGAAACTATTGGAAGCTCACACTCATCCTGTGAAGTAGTTATTATCCACGTTTTACAGATTAGAGAATTGAGGCCCGGAGTCGTGAGGTTGCCCAAGGCCCACACAAGAAGAAAGCAGTAGAGAGAGGTGTCTCCCGCTCTGACCGGAACTCTGGTTTAGCGGACAGCTAAGAGGAAGAAGAGCACAGGCCAAAGGCACGGTCTGCTGGGAAACGACCCCCTCCCACCCAGCCCCTGCTCAGCTATGGCGCCCTTCACCTGGAAAAAAAAGGCCAGATCAAGGCAAGGAAGATTGTAACAGCTTCCACCCAAGGCAGCTGGGATTTGAGGTGGCCTTGCTTTCCTGTCGTTGGCCAAGTGCAAGGGCCCTGGGCACCTCTGTGCCCGCCTATCACTTTACAGCCTTTCCCTGGCATCACTATTCTGTCGGGCTGATTCCTTGCCTTACTTGTTGGGCCCTGACTTTTGCCTAGAACCCCATTCTAACTGGCTGGGGCCCTGACACTACTGGCCTAATTTATCCTGGAGTATTACGTAAAGACCAAGCAAACACGCTCTGAAGTTAGACTTCTTGACTCTACGACTCACTGGCCTCCTGGCCTGGGGCAAGTCACTTTACTTCTCTACCAAGTTGCATTTCCTCACCTGTAGAGTGGGGATAAGAAAAACTAACCCGGTTGCGGATTGCATGTGATGATGATGCAATCAGTACCCAGCGTAGCGTCCAGCACAGGGCAACGCGTGCACATCAGGAACCGACGCACTGATGCCCCTGCTCCCCCTCGGTCCCCAACACCACTGCTGCCTGTCATTCTCAGCCTGCAGCTCCAGCCTGGACGGCATCCCCGGTCTGAACAGCAGCTCCGGCCTAGACAGCAGCCCCAGCCTAGACTGCACCTGAATTTGCTGTACTGCCCCAGGCACTGGATGAAAATGCACCACTGAGATCCAGTTCTGCCCAGAGCCATGCTGACCCTTTCCCGCCAGTCCTGCTGCGGGTGGCTAAGTCCCCCAACAGAAGAAGCTTACAAGATAATGGGATTTGGTATAAACAGGCTTGACTTCACTCCTATCCAAGAGGCTAATTCATGGACCGAAAGTATTTCACTAATTTCTTCCCAGCACTTATACTAACTGAAATGATTTTTTAAATTCATTTGTGGTCATGTCTCTCTCCCTAGAATGTAGGTTTTACCAGGGCGAGGGCTTTGATCCTGTTCACCGCTGAATCCTCAGTGCCCAGGGCAGTGCCTGACACAGAGCAAGTGCTTGACGTATGTGGGAAGGAGGAAGGGAGGAGTTTTACAATACGGAGCCTCCTAAATGCCAATCGGCTTTTATTTTTTTGCAGTACGCGGGCCTCTCACTGTTGTGGCCTCTCCCGTTGCGGAGCACAGGCTCGGGACGCACAGGCTCAGCGGCCCTGGCTCACGGGCCCAGCCGCTCCGCGGCATGCGGGATCCTCCCGGACCGGGGCACGAACCCGTGTCCCCTGCATTGGCAGGTGGACTCTCAACCACTGCGCCACCAGGGAAGCCCTTGGCTTTATTTTTAAATTAATAAATTGGTGTGTAGCAAGGATCTTCACCTGAAGAGTGTATAGTCAAGAACTAAACTTTGATGGATACCAATGACAATTTCACTGTGGCTGCAACCAGGAATATGACCTGTGATGTGGTTCCACAGCAGCAGACAGAGAGAGCGGGAGTTTTCGTGAAAGTCCTGGCGTCCGTGTTACTATACGACCCCAAGGAGCACAGCGCAGTGCGAGACTGAGAACTGAGAGAGCTGGGTTCGAGCCCCTGCTCAGCTGTTAACTAGCCATGGAGACCTGGGCTGGGCCCGAGGCTGCTCATTCGGCAAACACAGCAGGTGAGCTGCATCAGACACAGATGGCTGCTGGGCCACTGTAAGAGCCTCACTGCTTCAGCGCAAATAATTCAGGTAAAGAAAGCCTCTAATCAAGACACTATTAGGTTCTTCATATGGTTAAACGTATTCATCCTTTGAGAATGCCCTTTTTTTTCCTTTTTTTGGTGTTAAGGTGTCCGTACCTTGATGAAACGATAGGTCTTGTTTTTGTTCTAAAGGTTCACAACCAATGACCTATTCCTCCTCTTCACTTTTAAATGTCTCTGGCCTGTGAAATCAAAAAATGTGGCAGCCACTTTTCTAGAAAATGGGATCCAGCCCTCCCTACCTGTCCAAGCAGATCTGGGTACTTTCAAGGCCAGCATAAAGGACCAGAAGGGACTCCACTCCCCACTTTGTAACTCACGTCCTTCGAAGCACAGACAACGCAGATTAAGGCAGCGGCGCAAGGGGCCGATCCGTGGTACCAGCTGTCATCAATGGCCACTCCTGTTGCCTGCCCAGCCTCCTTTCCTATTCTTCTGGTCACAAAGCTCCTCACACCATATGGTTGGGCAAGGCTGATCCCTACTCCACCACCACGCATGGGCAACGAGAGGGCCTCAGCCCCTGGCATATGCAGGGAAGAGTCTTCTCCAGGGGCGATGGAGGGATACACGGCTCACCTCCTTTCTGCCAGGGCAGCTGGGTTGGGGGTGCAGGGCCTGGGCTGCAGCAGGCAGCGGGAGAGTACCTCCCTGTGTTTCTGAGCACTGCAGGGCTGTGGAGATAGTACCTGAGCACCCAGATCCAGCCACCCTTGAAGACCTGTGCCTGGACCCTGCAAAATCTACGGCCAGGTTCTAACCAACCTAAGGAAAACATACATCTGAACTGTAACTCACAAAGCTCCGGCTGTGCACAGAAAAACACAGAGTTCATGGATGACGGATGACCTGCCCCACCACGAAAAGCACCTGGTTGTGATACGGCTGGATGATCCTCCACCCCAGCAGGTACAATTTTCGCCTTTTGGATAAACTCCCAAGTTGGGCCATATCCTTGTATTGTTTCCCTCCACCACTCCTGTTTCTTTGATCAAAGATAAAATGCTCTGTAAAAATAACATTATTGTCGTCATGTGGAACGAGAGGTGTGGACTACACAGTGTGCTCGCAGATTCGCACCAGAGCAGCTGCCATGGGCGCGTTAGTCATGATCTGGCACCACCGCCAATCCGTCTCGCTCCCACCCCCCTTCCCACCCCTGCACTTCTGCCTGAACCCTCTCAACCCACCACACTGTCCTACTCCGTGCTTCTAGACATACGAGTTTGCACACGCGTTCTTCCACTTAAAAATCCTCCCCATTTAGGGTGGCTGGATAAAACAATGCATTTGGCCAGTTAAATTTGTATTTCAGATACATAATGAATAATGTTTTAGTATGTCTCCAGTTTACACATGACATATATTGGTTGTTAAAACTGGCAACCTGGGCTTCCCTGGTGGCACAGTGGTTGAGAGTCCGCCTGCCGATGCAGGGGACATGGGTTCGTGCCCTGGTCCGGGAAGATCCCACGTGCCGCGGAGCGGCTGGGCCCGTGAGCCATGGCCGCTAAGCCTGCGCGTCCGGAGCCTGTGCTCCGCAACGGGAGAGGCCACAACAGTGAGAGGCCTGCGTATCGCAAAAACAACAAGTAACAACAACAACAAAAAAAACACACAAAAAAACTGGC